GCTGACCATCATCTTTAAAGCGCTCCATGGCATCGGACCCGGATATCTCCGAGACCGCCTCCTGCCGCAGATTACCCCCCATCGACCTGTACGCTCCCACAGAGTGGGTCTCCTCAGGGTACCGTCGGCCAGACAGTGCCGGCTGGCGACCCCAAGGGGGAGGGCCTTCTCTGTGGGAGCTCCCACCCTCTGGAATGAATTGCCCCCAGAGATCAGGGTGATCCCTGATCTCCCTTCCTTCCACCGCGCCCTTAAGACATGGTTATTCCAGCTTGCGGGACTGGCCTAGGGGAAAACTTTTAGAGGCGGTTTTAACTATAATTTTAATCAGACCAATCATTAATATTTCCCTTTTAATTAACTTTTAAATTTGTTGTTGGATATTTTTGTACTTTTTATCTGGTTGTTAGCCGCCCTGAGTCCGCAAGGAGAAGGGCGGGATATAAATTTAAAAAATAAATAAAAAAATAAATAAACTTTAAGCACAAACATTATCAATTTGGGTATCCCTTCCAAATATATTCTAGTTTCTTAATTTTATCATAAATCTTATTTAATTCTTCCTCCACTAATATCCATTAATTAAAATAACATATTAATATCCTATAGATATCTAGTCCATCAATTAATCAATCTCTTTAAACTGACGGAAAACAATCAGACCTTGAATCATTTCAATCTATTAAACAAAATTCAAATTACATCCAGTTAATTGTCGTAACTAATAAGATCCGTGTTATCAAACAATCAAATCATCTTATTAGATTAACTCAACATTACATAATAATTTTCTTACAAGTAACCCTATCATCCTAAAAAGAGAACACACTCTTAATCCAGTTAATATATATTCCATTAATCACCCCCATCCACAACTTCTAAAGGCAAGTTTCCACTGATTAACTGTTCTCACTAATAGGAAGTTTCTCCTCAATTCTAGGTTGCTTCTTTCCTTGATAAACTTCCATCCATTCCTTCTTGTCCTGCCCTCAGGTGCTTTGGAGAGTAGGTTGACCTTCTCTTCTCTGTGACAGCTCTTCAAATATTGGAAGACTGCTTTGACATCACCCCTACTCCTTCTCTTTGTAGAAAAAAAGCACAAAGCTTATTTGGCCTGTTTGATTATTGGAACTTGGATCCAAATGATTAATTTGTCCCCACAGAGAACATAGCCAACATGTTTGTCCTGCAGGATAGTCTCATGTAGAGTAGGCTGAAAAATGTTTTCAGAATCTCATTGGAAAACATGGGGTGTGATAGACAGAGGGGAAAACATTCCTCCAGTCAGCAGTGGTCATCAACTAAAACAAACAGATGTGTTCTTTTCAACTGCGAGATGGAGGACCTGAAATGAATCAGGTTGTTCATGTAAACCATTTTGTAGAGGCCATAATGCTTTTCTGTCACCCCATCAGGCCACTTGAGGAGCCACCATTTAAAATGTGGAGCAGGGGTCTTCAAACTTGGCCCTTTTATGACTTGTGGACTTCAACTCCCAGAATTGGGAGTTGAAGTCCACAAGTCATAAAAGGGCCAAGTTTGAAGACCCCTGATGTAGAGGATGTTTGGTAGAACTTGGTGTTAGGTTTATGCAAAGCCTTCATTGCAGAAGTTGATTACCAATCCTAAGTCTTTGTATTGCATATACACAACTAGTTCTAAAAAGGATTCTATTTTTTTAAATTTAAAAATTAACCACATACCTGTTTTCCATCCAAGCCAGGCTTCCCAGGAAAACCGTCAAGGCCATGTTCTCCCTGAGCAAACAAATATAAAAGCTCTGTTGGAGATCTCATTCCATGAGGTAATCTTGGAAAAGCTGCATTATCATGAACACATTTGCCTGGGATTAAATATGGAAGTAGATTTGAATGGCTAGCTTTTTAAAAAAATCATTTCTTGTTTGATTTCCTGTCATGGATTCTAAACTCCAACCTGCACTGAATTGTGTACCTGGTTTTGACTGTTTTCTTCTCAGTTGCCCAGCATGACAACCCAATTACCACCCCATCTTTGGACAATATCTCCAATCTATTCCCTACATAGTGTTTCCAAAATTAAACCCAGAAAATACCACTTTTGTTTGCTTCAGTGCTGAGATTGAGAATGTCTGAAAGGCAGTGAGTTAATTATTTGATAAATCTGATAAATTCAAATAATGAACTGATATCTTTATGCAGACCATGTTTGATCAATGACAAGGGTGAAGATTCCTGGTCACATTACATGTGTGTAGCCTGCATAGAATGTATTATATATAACATGAGTTATAAAATGATCTAACTCAAGTGGAGTTCCAGAGAAATGCATTGTCCTAAGTATAACATATTTGACATGGAATGTCTTTCATGAGCCAATTTCTGTTCCAAACTTGTACTCATATTCATGGGATATTATTTGATAAATTATTTGCACCTTGTCACCACGGGGTCCTTTTTCTCCTCTTTCCCCTTGCAAACCCTAAAAAAAGAAAGAAAAAGAAAGTAGGAAATTACAGGAATCATACTGACACCAATAACTATGAGAATAACTAGATGAGTTATGAACAGGCTAGGAATGTTCTCAGAGTGGCTTAATCAATGTTGAGTGCTGTTAAAGAAAGAAGTTATTTTAGACTCAATTGATTAAGGACCTTTCTTGAATAAAACTGATAGAGGAGGATATTTCTAGCTCAGGATTGAAATGAGTTTGAGCTTCGTTGTCTTCTTGCCGACATTTCAAAACCAAACTAGGTAACATCATCAGTGCTAGCAGTTTGGTAATGAAAAATCTGCAAAAACCCAGAAACCCCCCAAAAAAACAACCAAGCTCAGAAAGCGGCAAGGACCCCACATAGAATAAAACTATACAGTAATTTGTGCTAATTGGTCTTGGAGCGTTGATCAATAAACTCAATATTTTGACTTTAAGCTATTTAAAAAAATTAAAAGTAACCTGTTTTGCAGCCAGCTAAAGGAAGCTAGTGAAAACTGCGTAACCTTCTCCAACAAAAGACATGATCTCATCTGATGAACAGGGACATTATTCAACAAGTGAAAGCTGACATTATAAAGAAAAAAAGATGTACAGTATAATCCATGTGATGAGAAGCCATAGAATTAGAATCAATCTAGATGAGCTTTGTTGAGGTCAATATATGCACACTTGCTATGGATAAGTTCTACAAAATTGACCATCTCCTTGAACTTAACTGTGTATAGCAGCTCACCGGATGGATAAGTCTATGTGTATAAATTCCTTGGAGTCAAAATTACTGCAAAGAACAATCTAAATTATTCTTCAATATTCTGTGAAAACTAATATCAGGTAAATGGGATATAGTTACAACCTATAAAAGAAACGCTGAAACCAAAAAACCCTAATTATTATGAAGATGTTTTACTCCTGAACAAACATTGTTTCATTTGGGAACTGAACAATTAAATTACAGCAAATTAAAGACTAAAAAAATGCATTTATTTCTCATTAAGCAACCAACACTGTTACACAATGTGTCTAGAATATGATGAATGAATGGGAAAGAGAGGGCATGTCTACAAGGAATACTTAC